CCCCTTCGGATCTACTTCTTATTCAAAAGACTAACTGCGGAACCGCCCCGTCTCTCTTACACTTTCTCTCAAGTGGCTGTGTCCCTCGTCGAACACGATAGACACCTGGTCCATGTATCCAAAAAACCCCAAAAGACAGCATAGACCTGTATTATTGTCAGTCGCTGAAGACTGAATTATCAAGCGGTGGACCATAGCTGTAATATTCGTTACCCCCCTTCCCTTCCCTCTTTCATTTAGTCACCTACTTCGAATCTATCCTTCATTTGTTGTTTTCTGTCCTCGCACCTAACGGCTTGAGCCTTTCCAGCCAAACAACGTGACTTGAAGGTGTTCATAACTTACTTAGTGACCACGCGGCCGAAGCGGAACAACGCGCCATAATTTAAAAAAATAAACAAAAAGTAAATATAAGCAAATTGGAGACAATTGAATAAACTGCCGCGATAGAAAAAAGTGCAAATCAGGACCCAACGTGAAGTACAACCAATACGAAATAAGAGCTGAGCAAATAATACCCGTAAATTGGCCAAAATTAGTTGACTGACAATCGTATATAGATTTTTCGATGTTATCATAAAATCATGCAAGATAAGCTTTTTTCCTGTTTACAAAACTTACAAAAACTTTTGATGAATTTAGACAGATATTGTAGGAAAACTAGCCGAGAAGCAATCGGATGTCACTAAAGATTTCCGCGTGGGGAGTATAATGAAGTATTTTGAAATAGGAAGCCAAGAGGGCTAACTGAATTTGGTCCAATATTGTAGTACGTTAAGCCGGAAAGTAACCGCTGGTCGGTCAAGATTTTAGCCTGGGAAGTGCAATGGAGTGTTAAGTGCTGAATTCGTACACAAGAAAAGCCTTAGGCATATTATGTAGGAAAAACACTGCAATCGACGATACTACGAAATATTAAAACAAAACGGGCTTACTGCAGCTAAATAAGTAGTTAGTTATGTATATTGAACTACACTTCTGTGATGTTTATAAGAAAACCCTTACCGAACTTGCTGATAGCAAGTTTTCTGTGTCTCAACCGTGTCCCACTTGGGCCGTACAGCGACCCCAATAAGCGAAGTAGGCGTGGGGCATACGCATAGACTGATTTTCAATCGTCACATTCACGAGAAGTCATCGCAAGGTGATCCTCAACCCGAAAGGTTGTTCGTACTATCTGTTCAGTTGGCAGCTTTCATTCCACGCATTTCATCTAGCTAGGATAATTTAGGAGCTTCCCATCGCACTAAGGCCTCAAAGTACACCGCCTTCTTTTGGTATGTCTGAGTTTGCTTATGCTGTGATGTATCTAGCAAGGATCTCGCGTGGTAATGTTTAGGGATTTGCGAATTTGTGCGAAATCTGCCTACGAAGCTCGCAAGGCCAAAGGCATCGCTAACCAGTTGTTTACCAACGGACACTGTTCTGCATTTTCTTTAACCCTTCTACCGGTGGTTAAAATTGGTGTCTCAGAGGATCACAAGTAGTTTGTTGCCTTCTTTATCGATTCTGGGTTGTTGCTTTTTCGTCAGTTGATGGCCGAGAGTCACACATGCTGT